CCCAGTTCAACAACGAGTTCGGCCGCCCATGCACCACCGGTTACTTCCGCACCATGCTCATGCGCGTCTTTACAAACGAGAAGGAGTCGGAGCTACGGGGCTACCACAAGCCTATCATGCTGGCAGGTGGTGTGGGCACCGTCAGGCCGCAGCATGCGCTCAAGGACCCTGACGTTGTACCCGCTGGCTCGCACCTTCTCGTTATCGGTGGACCTGCCATGCTTATCGGTCTTGGTGGCGGCGCAGCTTCCAGTATCCAGTCTGGCGAAGGCAAGGTCGACCTTGACTTTGCCAGTGTGCAGCGAGGCAACCCCGAGGTGCAGAGGCGCGCGCAGGAAGTCATTGATGCGTGTCGCTCTATGGGCGACAAGAACCCCATCCTCTTCATTCACGACGTCGGAGCTGGCGGTCTGTCCAACGCACTGCCCGAGCTTGTTCACGACTCTGGTCTCGGCGCCATCTTCGAGCTACGCGAGATCGACAATGTTGACAAGAGCATGAGCCCACTGCAAATATGGTGCTGCGAGGCCCAGGAGCGTTATGTGCTTGCGGTCAGCCCTGACCAACTAGACTTGTTCAAGCGTATCTGCCACCGTGAGCGATGCGGTTACTCCGTCGTCGGCAAGGCTACCAAGGAGCAGCGTCTAGTGTTGAACGACAGGGACTCCAAGGAGAACCCTACACCCATCGATCTTCCAATGGCCACACTTTTCGGAAAGCCACCAAAGATGTCCCGCATTGTCGAGAGCCGCAAGTTGAGGCTCCCCGCCTTTGACAGCAGCTTGTCAATGTACATTCCCGACACACCCAAAGATGGCTTGATCGCCGAAGCCGTAGACCGAGTTCTCACCCTACCAGCCGTAGGCTCAAAGTCCTTCTTGATCACCATTGGAGACCGCACCGTCGGTGGCCTTACTGTCCGTGACCAGATGGTTGGCAAATGGCAGGTCCCAGTAGCTGATGTATCGGTAACAGCTACATCGCTACTGGCTGGTGTCAGGACTGGCGAGGCTATGACTATGGGCGAGAAGCCTACCCTGGCGCTCATCTCGCCGGCCGCATCTGCCAGGATGGCAGTCGCAGAGTCTTTGATGAACATTGCTGCAGCAAGCCTCTTCGACAGGCTATCGAGAGTCCGACTCTCGGCCAACTGGATGTCTGCAAGCAGTCATCCCGGAGAGGGTGCAGCCTTGTACGAGGCCGTCGAAGCTATCGGCATGGATCTCTGCCCTAAGCTTGGCATATCTATTCCCGTCGGCAAGGACTCGATGAGCATGAAGATGAAGTGGTCCGACAACGGCGAGGCCAAGGAAGTCACAGCACCCATGTCGCTTGTCATCACTGCATTTGCCCCTGTCAACCGCACAGATCGAACATGGACACCTGCCCTGGAGAGGGTTGAGGATGTCGGTGAAACCGTCCTGATGTTCGTCGATCTAGCAGCGGGCAAGAAACACATGGGCGGTTCTGCCCTAGCACAAACATTCGGACAGATCGGCGACGAAGCACCCGATGTTTACGACGCCGATATCATCAAGGACTACTTTGACGCGATCGAACAACTCCATGAGTCGGATATCGTGCTTGCATACCACGACAGGTCTGACGGTGGTCTTTTCACAACCCTCGTTGAGATGGCCTTTGCCGGACGATGTGGTATTGAGGTCATGCTCGACGGCATCGCAGCGTCAAGCGAACCCAAAGATGTTCTGGAAACGCTATTCAACGAAGAGCTCGGAGCTGTCTTCCAGATCAGGAAGAAGGACGAAGTTGCCTTCAACCGCTGCTTCGCTACCTGCGGGCCACCTCCAGGTATGATCAAGAAGATCGGTCGCGTGCCTGAGGCGTCAAAACAAGACATCTCTTTCTACGTCGGCACCCAGAATGTCTACCGCAGCACACGCCAGAAGCTCCAGCAGCGCTGGGCAGAGACCTCGTACCGCATGCAAAAGCTCCGTGACAACCCTGCTTGCGCCGACGCCGAGTTCAAGAACATCCTCGACGACAAAGACCCAGGCCTGTCGTACAACCTCAACTTCAAGCCTGCCGAAAACATTCTGCCCTTCATGTCCAACCTTAAGTCACCTTTTACCGCCAAGCCCCGCGTAGCCATTCTTCGCGAGGAAGGTGTGAATGGCCAAGCCGAGATGGCATTTGCTTTCCACCAGGCCGGTTTCACTGCCATCGATGTACACATGACCGACATCATCTCTTCGCGTGTATCGCTCGCTGGCTTTGTGGGTATAGCAGCGTGCGGTGGTTTCTCCTACGGTGACGTGCTTGGCGCAGGCCAAGGGTGGGCAAAGTCTGTCCTCTTGCACCCCAACACACGCAAGGAATTCCAGACGTTCTTCGCTCGCCCAGATACTTTTGCCCTTGGTGTCTGCAATGGTTGCCAGTTCATGAGCAAGTTGAAGGAGTTGATCCCTGGTGCGGAGCTATGGCCTAGCTTCGAGCGTAACGCGTCTGAGCAATACGAAGCGCGTGTCTGCATGGTGGAGGTGCTCGATCCCAAGGGACCCAACACACCGCCATCTGTCTTCCTGCACGGCATGGCTGGATCCAAATTTCCCATCGTCACCGCGCACGGCGAGGGACGCGCTCACTTCTCCAAATCTGCTTCCTCGGTCTCGAGCCCACAGACGCTATACAACGAAAACCTTGTGTCGTTCCGCTACGTCGACAACTACGGAAAGCAAACCGAGACATACCCATACAACCCGAACGGCAGTCCAATGGGTATCAGTGGTGTGAGGAGTACCGATGGTCGGGTATTGGCGATGATGCCGCACCCCGAACGCACTATCTTGAAGGAGGTCGGAAGCTATATCCCACGAGATGTAGAAGGATGGGGCGAACTTGGCCCGTGGTCACGCATGTTCAAGAGTGCTAGGCGATGGGTCGGCTAGAGCACGCTTGGAGAGAGACGCGGTTCGGTATGCATGGATTGGTTGGCGTTTAGGGTGGTTATTATAGGCATTTACGATATGGAAATGATAGATTTACAAGCATCCAAACCATTGTTTGCAGAGGCGAGGTGTATTTTTACTTCGTACATCGTGTTAGGCATCCACTTTGCCAAGAAAATGCACAACAGGGGACTCTCCATCCTCGTACAACAAGCAAATCTGCAATCAGCTGTCTCAGTCAATAGATCTAGGTCAAGATGGGCGGAGTTCTCTCAATTCTGCGAAACACAGCCAAGGCTCTCATCGCAGCAGTATCTCTCTTAAGAGCTTTGTCAACCGAGTTCGATCAAGCTCTGAAGCGTGCATCACAACCCCCGGGTCTTCCGGTCCCCAAGCCATCCGAAACTTACTGGCTCAGCGACCCTCCACACCCTGCACTATGCGACGCAAGCTCGTCCAAACTGCCGGAAACTGTCGATGTGGTCATCATCGGTTCCGGAATAGCTGGCGCTGCTGTCGCGCGGTCACTACTACACGAGCGACGCCGTCGCAATATCCGCACTCATGAGAAAGTGGTGGTCCTCGAGGCTCGACAGCTGTGCAGCGGTGCGACTGCTCGGAATGGCGGCCACATCAAACCTTCAGTGTACGAAAGCTTTTCTCGATTCAGCAAGCTGTTGCCCAAAGATCGTGCTGCTGCCCTGTCACGTTTCCAGCTCTTGCACGTCAAGTACTTGACAGAGTTATGCGAAAGCGAAGGCCTTGAGTCTGCCGAAGCTCGGAAGGTCGAGACTATGGACTTTTTTCTGGATGACGAAAGTTTCTCCAAAGCTGTCGCGGATGTTGAAGAGTTGAAGAAATGGTTGCCTGAGGTTGAGATTGCGGTATGGAAGGGTGATGAGGTACAGAAGGTTTGATGACACCCTGAGGTGACTAGCAAAGGAACTCCCCGATGCTGACGAAAACAGAAATTCGGTGTCAACAACAGCGTCGTCGGCGCTTTGTCCTACCAAGCAGGCGCTATATGGGCGTACCGATTCGTTGCATCTATCTGGAATAATCTTCTCAGCGATTTTGATGATACACTCTCTATCGAGACAAACACTCCCGTAGAGTCAATCAGCATCCCAGACACGGCGCCTGAAGACTTCCCATACGCTGTACAAACTACCCGAGGAACGATATTCGCCCGCCACATAGTCCACGCCACGAACAGCTTCGCAAGCCATCTTGTCCCAGGTCTTCGCAGCAAAATTGTTGGCGCACGAGCCCACATGTCTGCACAACAACCAGGACATACATTCCCATATGCTGACGGCATGCGCTCATGGAGTGTAGTCTACGGCGAGGGTTTCGACTACGTCACACAACGTCCACCAGCCACCAGTGGTTCCAAAGGAGATCTGATGCTTGGAGGCGGCTTCGTGCGGTCGCTAAAGCAAGGCATCGATCAAGTCGGTCGATATGACGATGGCCCTCAACTCGACCCATTGACCGCCGCACACATCACGGGTGTGTTTCCGGCAGTGTTTCATCCCAAATGGGGTGCTGGTGCTGAGGTGAAGCGGATGTGGTCTGGCATCATTGGTTTGACTGGCGATTACATGCCATTCGTCGGTCGCTTGGATGCAAAGCTAACGGGGCGGGATATCAAAGCACGAAAAGGCGGGGCGTCTGACAAGGACTGGTGCGGGGAGTGGATTGCGGCGGGCTTCTCGGGAGAGGGCATGGTGTGGGCTTGGCTTTCAGGTGCTGCTCTTGGTATCATGATTGCTGGTAGTGAAGACGAAGACCTGCCTGAAGTTCCGGGGAGGCCGGGTGGCAAATTATCGGAATGGTTTCCGAAAGAGCTCGTGGTGTCAAAGGAGAGGATGCGCAGCGCTGATGTTAGTAACCTGGCCAATTAGTCGTCAGAAGCCAGGCTATGGTTTGTCGATATATGTCAATGGATTTGCGAAAACTCCTTGTACAAAGATCGATTGTGTATTAGGTTCTATAATGCTATTAGACTCTCTTCTAGTTACGATTCCTCTATTCCCAACGCCGTCGATCGCTTCATTGCCGTGTATTCCAAATGTAGGGTGCTTCAGTTCAAGCAGCCTCTTTCTCTACATCTTTCGACGCATGTTTTGCGGGCTTTCCCGCACGTTCCTTGATGCTCCTCCATTCCACCATCAACGCTCCAATGATGGTGCAAGCGCTGAGTGCTGCTGCTAGCAGGAACGTCCGAGTTATTGAGTAGCTGTACGCCGACACCACCGTATCGATCTCGTTCGCCGATACCACTTTTCGGAGGTCTGTTGCACCGGTGTTGATGATGAGTTCAGTATCGAGTTTGGAGTTACCCGATAGTTGCTTGACGAGCTGAGTCGAGAAAAGATTTTGTCCAACAGCGAGGAAGATAGCACCACCCTGTTGATTTAGGAAGAAGACTACAAGTTTGCGAAGTCAGCGTATGTTCAACATGAAGGTCCTACAGATGAACTTACTCATCGCCATGCCTAGGGAAACATCTGAGCGCGGCAGGATAGTCTGCGGCACCAAGTTCGCTGTTTGAGCCCCAAAGCCAAGCCCGCACCCGTAGAAGATCTGATAGCCAATCCATTCGCCAGCGCTCGACTCCGGCGTAAGTGTAGAAAGGAGGCCACTGGCGATTGATGCGACAACGGCCGAAAGGAGCATAGCAGGGACATAGTAACCGATCTTCTGAGTTATCACTGCTGTGATGATGCCGGCGACAATAAGCGATGTGCACAACGGTATCGTGCGTACACCGGCCTGCATGGCAGACTGGCCCTGGGCAGCCTGGAACCAGATAGCGATGTAGTATACAGTGTTCATCATACCGCCGGCGAGGAGAAAGATGAATAGCATAGCACCGCCCATCGAACGGTTCAAGATTACCCGAGGCGGGGCCATGGCTGTATCCGGCATCGTAAACTCCACAGCCAGGAATGCGATGAAAGTGACTGCAAATGTGACGAGCAGGCCGATGATTTTCGGTGCTGACCAGGGATCGGTCGTACCTCCCCACTGAAGAGCAAGGATAAGGCATACCATGGATGGTACGAAGAAGAGAAGACCAATTGGGTCGAGGCGCTTGAGCTGAGCGAGAATGGACAGCTTCTCTTTAGGCGTTGAAGGGAGATCCAGAAAGAAGAATATGCATGCGAACGTCAAGGCACCGATGGGGAGGTTTATGTAGAAGCACCATCTCCAGGTCAAGGTCCTATTCGCGTGTTAACCGTGACCCATGAAGAAAGCCTGGAGACTTACGGATTGTCAGTAAATGTGCCTCCAACGAAGGGCCCCAATACAGATGACACCCCAAATGCGAGACCGAGAAAAGAAGTGAAGATAGGTCGCCTTCGCAATGGCACGAGAGGTACAATGATCATGACCGCACCACATTGAAGTCCAGCTGCTCCGATACCAGCGATTGCGCGACCGACGATGACTTCAATGAGGGTCAGCGAGTGCATCATCTCGCGATTTGGTGGATTACTTACGAACAACAGAAGTAGGTGCGGCCCCACACAATGCACTGCCAACTTCGAACAGGAAAACGGACACCAAAAACGTCGATTTGGTATCGTAAAGCTGGTATATTTTGCCGAAGAGTGGATTGAAGATTGCGCACGTGAGCATATAGCCACTACCATACCAGCCTATATCCGCGATAGTGCCGTATGTATTTGTGATTGCCGGTATAGCAGTAGCTAAACAGTGTCAGTAAGGACTGAAGACGGAGCAACTTCACATACCAATGATCATGCGGTCGAGAGCAACAAGGAAGAAGGCCAGATAGATCGAGATGATGACGAGCCAAAACTTGAGTGTTTTGGGCTTATAGTTCTCCTCGGAATCTGCGTACTCGTGACCTCCAGAGGCTGAAGGTGAGGCATCCTTTTCAAGCTCTTCGTGCAAACTAGCGGGTTTGGCCATTGTTGTAGTCCCAACTTGAGCTGGTGTAGTCATGGCGTAAACTTCGGAATGAGCGCAGTGGAGTTCAAAGAGAAACTTGAGATTGGATACACTAGAACACTGTCGAGAGAAGCTTGGCTGTTATATATATGTACATTCGGTATGTGCAACGTCCCGAACGATGTTTTGCAATACAATCCCGTTCGGGGAGTAGAAATGTCCGACATGGAAGCGGTCCACGCAAACATTGGAAGCGAACTTCGACCTGTTGCAGAGTAATAGTGATCCAGGACGGGTCGGGAATACCAGAGTTTCTCCGAACGCATACTGTCGATTTGATGTGTTGAGACGATTCAATGTCCTGAATGCCCAGAGTTGCCCGGTGTTCGATGTGAGAGAGATCACGTGATGGGCTCGGGGATTAGATCTGTCCGAGAGGCTGGCCGCACCTTACTCAGGCGTCGGTGCGCGTCATCACGCCCTTACGGATCGAACCTCAAGTTCAGACATCGGAGGTAGTAAGCGTGAATAAACGCGAAGATTGCGGAGATGTTGGGACGGATGCCATCCGTCACTGCTGAAACAAGAGAAAGGAGTGGCTGTGGTTGACGAACGCGACTGAAGCGGGAAGTGCGGTTTACGTAAGCCTCACGCGTCGTGGTGGTGGTATCGAGCCTGGGCACCCTCCTGCGCCGGCCTGCCTGCCTGCTTTCCTGCGAACCGCCCTCTTCGTCGCAAGGACCCATATTTCTCACATGAAGCCACAATGCTCTTTCGTTGCAGTCAATCCGGGGATAAGCAGAGCCAGGCGAGCGCCTCGCGTCTGGTTGCCTGGCTGCCTGGTTAGCGCCTGCCTCGCCACCTGCTCTGTGGTGGCCTTTTCCACTCCGCGCTCGCATACCTGATCAATACCGCTGTCACGGAAGAGAGCTCGTTCCCTTGACATGTCGTCTGATATACCCACGCCTGAACTCAGTGCTGATGCACTGTCTCCATTAGCGCATGCAAGCAAGTCCCAGCGCGTGCTTTCGTGCGTGCTATGCGCGCAAAGAAAGGTCAAATGTGACCGGGCTTTTCCTTGCTCAAACTGCAAGAAGGCGGGTGTGCAATGCATTCCCGCAGCGACGCAACCACGGCAACGACGTCGCAGATTTGCCGAACGGGAGCTGCTTGAGCGTCTTCGCCACTACGAAGACCTCTTGAAAACGAACGGCATTGCCTTCCAACCCTTACATGCATCTTCGAACTTATCCACAGGGCCCCACGAAAGTAACGCCAGTCGTGGTCAGGAGATTTCCAGAGCTCAATCGTCCACCATATCAGATACCGACAACACCCAACCCAAGTACGCAGAAACTGTAGCACTTGAAAAAGACACTACTAACTGTACTAGGAGTTTTTGGCTTGCCTTACACCGATTAGCATACGATGCTGATGACGACGGCAGCGACGACGATTCCGAGAACAGCGGCTCTTCGCAACACGCATTACAGCAAGCGCAGATTGTGCAAGCCTGGGACAACCTCTATGCGCAAAAACTATACCGTAACGAAGATCTCTTGTTCTGCTCGCGTAGTACGGCCGTCGACCTATCAGTTCTCCATCCCCCACAAAGCCAGGTGTTCAAGCTTTGGCAACTGTACCTTGAGAATGTCGACCCATTATTGAAGCTCACCCATACGCCTACCCTCCAGCCACGCATCATCGATGCCGCTAGCGACATCTCACATATCGATCCAAATTTGGAGGCTCTAATGTTCTCCATCTATTGCATGGCTATTTTCAGCCTCAACCAGGAGCAGTGTCAATCATGGTTTGGTAGGCCCAAGCCGGACCTGATCAGATCTTACCAGTTGGGTGCAAGGGAGGCGCTGCTGAATTGTAACTTCTTGAAGTCTAACGATCGAGAATGCTTGACAGCCGTTCATCTCTACCTGGTCTCACTCAAACCAGACACAGACCCACGGTCATTGTCTTCGATGCTAGGGGCTGCTGTTCGCATTGCTCAGCGAATGGGTATTGATGCCGAATCTGCCAATTCCAGACATTGCGTGCTAGAGGCCGAATTGCGCAGAAGACTATGGTGGTCTCTCTCACTCTTTGACAACAGGATGTCTGAAATGACCGAGAGCAAGTCCACTACGTTAATCCCGACATGGGATTGCAAAGCCCCGCTCAACGTCAACGATTTCAACTTACGAGTCGAGACCAAGACCCCTCCTGTTGAGTCTGAGGTCGTTTCCGAAGCCTTATTTCCAGTCATCCGTAGCCAGATTGGCGAGTTCATTCGTCAAAGCCCATCTCATTTGGACTTCATCAATCCGGCCCTGAAGTCCTTCTCCAAGAAGGCATTTGACGCCTCCTATTCAGGGCTTGACGAGCTTGCCGCTTTTGAGTCAACGATAGAGCAAAAGTATCTTACGCGTTGCGATGCTCAAAACCCGCTGCACTTTCTAACCATGTGGATGGCGCGCGCGTCACTCGCAAAGATCGGATTTGCACAATACCTATCAAACAACTCGAAGGGACTTGCGCAAGGAAGTGAGGAGCAGCGCAACGTTGGTCTTGGATTTGCGCACCGTATGCTTGAGTGCGATACGCTGCTCATGACCTCACCCCTCATAGCAAATTTCCGCTGGGTTGTCTACATGCACTTCCCGTTCCCTGCCTATATTCATCTCGCCCAAGAGTTGAAAATACGCCCACTAGGCCAACTCGCAGATCGATGGTGGCAGGCAATGAGCGAGAACTGCGCCGCTCGGTTGATGGACTTCGAGAAAAAGGACAGCCCGGTGGAGACCAAGCCCAACAACCCTTTCTTCACACTCTTTGGGGGGCTTGTTCTACAAGCTTGGTCGGCACGTGAAGCAATAACGTCCGAACAATCGGATCCACCAGCTATCGTGACGCAAATCAGACAAAAGATGGCCCTAAGGGACAAACTAGCGGCAGAGTCGCAATTCCAGACGCCAGGTCTTGATGATCCACAAACGTCCGAGCTCATTAGTTTGGACAGTCTCGGCTCCCAATCGAGCGTTACCCGTGGCAGTGGCATGAATCTGGGCTGTGTAGCTTTCCCCATGGAACAAGCTTCGATGAACTACAATGGCAATCCATGGAATTGGCCAATGCCGGCTTGGGCTGGAATGCCCGGTCAAGGCTGGTGAACCTACTGTGTTCACGCATAGATCCTCTTGTTCGATGAGTACCTCATACGACACGTGATCGTGCCCATAGAAGCCATCGCCAAGACGGGCTGCTCTTTGCATCAATAGACTGACTCGAGCAGTGAGAACCAAGGTGTCTCAGCTGTCACGACAGATTCACCGAGCCTCCCTTTGAGTTCCGAGTCAAAAGTCCAGTCCAAGCGCTGCCATCGTCTCGGCTGGCCTAGCCGCATTCACACCAGGATACCCCAATCGCCTTCTGCACTCCGGCCGTTGTGCCGGCAGTCGTCACTTTTGACCTTTCAACGTCATGCATCGCAGCTACAATGGTTTGCGTTACTGAAATTTAGAGTACATTATTAAGCCGGCTTTAAATCGTGTGGATCCGCCACGATACCTCCGATAGAGCTGTTCCTGCAATTCCCATGCGCTGGGAACAGGGGCGGAGTTTTGACGGTGGTTATTCACATGAAGTTCTTTTTTTGTAGATAACGTCTCCCTGATGGGCACAGGGGTGGGGTGGAGCGTTGGCCTTGGCGTTTCAAGCAGCCTGACAAGGAATCGATAATTGCCAGCTGGCGCGTGTAGAATCACCGCCGCAATCCTTCAGCAGGCCGTTCAGGATGTATGAAATACTGTCAGGTATCGCACTTTGTCAGAGGAAAAGGCACATGTCCCCATGAAAATGTGGGAACTGGGGTCATCGCATCAGCATAACAACTCATTACAACAATGCGACACTCCACATCACGACCCAGGAGCCGAGATCCATTCGATCTTTTGCTTGAGGCGCAGTCAACAGCATGACTCCAGGAACACCGAGCATACCGATAGTGGCATCATCGCTAACCTGCCTGGGTCTCCCGGCCCGCTACCGTTGACATGAACCCCCTGTTAGGTCCGGATCTGGTGCCATTAGCGCTATCGAAGATACTAAAATACGATATATAGGTGTGCATATACAGGGTAGCTACTCACGAACGGTTCCCATCTTGGCAGTACGCTATCCTGTTCGATGCTAGGTCTACAATCCCCTCGTTCGTTTCAACGGTATCCATTTTTGCAAACTCCTATGCGGGTCACCGTTATGGGATCGTGGCTGGGACGGGTATATAGATAGTTGACGCCAGTCCTCCGATTCCTGCCTCAGGCCAGTTGTCTGATTTCACATCCAAGATGCAGGTCCGCACTCTTTTCGCCGTGCTTTCGGCAGCCACTCTTTTACAATTCACCAACGCTCTTAATGCTTGCCCTGGCAACGACGATATCTTTACTGGAGCGGAAGGCATCAGATATCGAGTTTGCCCCGGTACCGACCTTACAGGACCTACGACATCGATCAAACGCGTTGCTTCGGTTACAGCATGTGCAAAACTCTGCGACAAGAGTATGGACTGCTTCAAGGCAGTGTTTGATACCAAGACCAAAGATTGCCACTTCAAGGATCTTACCGGCCTGAACTGGGTTGCCAACGATCGCTTCCAGGTCATCCAAGCAGAGCAAGTGAACATCGCTCGCTGCCCTGCTGGCGAATGGACGTATCACAGAAACAGAGTAAGTCTGCTCCCCAGTAGCTCGAGACACGCGGACATTAACATTGCACCCCTAGAAACAATACAGCATCTGCCCTGGCACCGACATCCGCGGACCAAGCGAGAAGGTATGGCAAGGCGTGAACACATTTGATACCTGTGCCTACCTTTGCGCCAACTGGGCCACATGTACCGCCGCTGTCTACGACTCTGCCAAGAAGGCTTGCCACATCAAAGCCGACTCGCGCAGTAACACTTTGATCTGGTCAACCGACAAACGCTTCGATGTAATGCGTCTCAATGTAGCGCCTGCGCCTGCGAA